TAGCTGTTTTCCAATAAAACAAACTAACGTCTGCTACAGTTGCCGCAAATGATCTTCATGTCTCACAGTTGCAAGACATGAAGTAGATTTATCTTAGATTAACTATGAACTAATTAACAATGATAATAATAAAATGATATCTGTGGAATGGTTAGAGGACACCACCCAAACCTGCAAACACAAAGGAAAAGTTATAAACAAAATTACAAAATACTAGTGTATTTCAGCAAAACCGTTTTAAATTCACCTTTGGGTCTTTGAGGGAAAGCTGATGGATGTTCAACCCAAAACACACAGTTCATGTCAACTCTTGGTGGTCTGAGTGCATAACAATGCACAATGTTTTAGTTTTATTATTACCAACCACCCCAAACCAGGGGTGTCTCAGTTTTTGAATTAGAAAATCTGGTCACACTAGTTATTCAGTTTGTCCAAATTTGGACCAGCCCACACCAAACGCAATACAAGGACCCAAACCTAAGTGCCACCTGTGGAAATTAAGCATTAAAATCTAGTCCACATTTAGATCAACCCACAAGAGACCCCAGTCTCCATAAAAGTGTGTGTAGAATATGACACATTTGGACCAGTTTAGGCCCAAATCAGAAGCCATTAGTACATCAATAAATTCAGACCTTGTTTTGATATGATACAAGGGTCATGTCATTTTTGTTTTAAAATCTAGTCCAAATTTAGACCAGATCAACCCACAAGAGACCACACAGTCTGTATAAAATAGTTTAGAATATGGCACATTAGGACCAGTTTAGGCCCAAATCTGAGCCATTAAAATCCTCAGCATTCAGAGCTTGTTTTGAGGGGAGACAAGGTAAAGAATAAAAAGAAAGATGTTTTAGGATTTGAGGGTTACATCATGACCATTGTACAATTGGATGCATTTCATACAGTTTTTAAATTTCCAGGACAGACAAGAGATTTTTATTTTTTAAGTAAGTTTTCATCCTATTAGAAACCTTTGATGACACGTTGTTTAAATTTGCATGTTTGAGTGAGTGTTACATGTGAATTATGGAGGAGATTGGATGTAAATTACTGTTCATGGACCCAACAGATTTGACTCTGAAATTGCAAGAATAATGTACAATTCAGATCAAAATAAAATGACCAAAAACATTTTAAAGTATCAAGATATTGTCATGATGGTCTCTTCCTGGTTTGTTTTAGTTACTGACAACTATGCCTTCATTTACCATTAAAAGGATAATGGATAAAAGAATAGCAATATTCCCGTATTCATCCATTTTCCTCTGGGATTAAGTTAATATGTTAACTCACCATGTAATTAATATTCATAAGTCACCACATAGCTGATAAGAGAGATTTCAAACTTTTAATATTGATTTTTTTCTGAATGTCTAATGGTAGGGTGACCAGAAAAAAGTTACATAGTGTGCCTTTAATGGATTTAAAATTTTATGCCAATTTTACTAAACAAAACAAAAAAACGAAAGATATACTACCACAAGTTTATTATGTAAGTAATACCGTTTTAAGAAAATTAATTGAAACCAGTTTTATTCTCTCTTATTACAGTCCAATAGCAAAATTGCAATCAGATATATCCTAAAAAGAAAATATTAAAACATGGTGCTTATGTCAGTTGTAGTCCTAAGGCAATACTGCTGGGTGGTGGGTGTAGTAGTTCCCTTGACAGTCTATAATTGCTTCAAAACATGGAGCTTCAAAATATTGCTTCAAAACATGGTGCTTATGTCACAGTTGTAGTCCTAGTAAGGCAAAAGTGCTGGGTGGTGGGTGTAGTAGTTCCCTTGACAGTCTATAATTGCCCAAAGATGCTATTGTTCAGATATACACGTCTATGGTGTTTTGGATCCTTTTACGACACAGTGGACAGTTCTGATACACGTGATCTTGCCTCAGAATGAAGTCTTTACAGTTCTTGCAGAGACAGAGGTGCCTGCACGGGAGGAGGAGAGCGGTCTTGCGGTGGTCCTGGCATATTACGCATCTGTCTTCCGAGTCACCCTGCGGTCTAGGCGGGTCCGAAACAGAGTTGGATCGCTGGTGCTGCTCCGGTGCGGTGTTAGTAGATAAATTCAGGAGTAAATCAATGATCTGCTGTTGAAGTTGACGCAGTGTCACCAGCAGGGGCTCAATCGCTTGTTGACCAAACCGGAAAGCCGTGAAAATCCATTGATGACTTGCACATTGTTGCAGTTTGCGATACATTTGAGAGACAAAATGTGAAACTAGCCTTCGCGTTTCCTCTGGCTTGATGTAGGCAATGGCTATGAGAGCTATAACACCAGTCACTATTGCTATTTGTACGAGTAAATACACCAAAGCGTACAAGCAATACAAGACCCAAGTAAAAAGTGCCCATAGAAACGCGATGGTACCGACGCAGAGCACGCCGCTGGAAAGTAAACTAGGAGTGAATCTAGCAAAAATTATAAACTTTACAAAAAATTCGACACACAAGCAGAGCAAGGCAAAGCGAGAAAAAGCGGATCCTTCATAATATAAAAATAGTAAATGTAAAAAACCGAGGCATTTCCCGACATCAGAGAAAATCAGTTTAACCAAATCCATGGTAATGTGCTCCAAACAAACTGCCTGGAGTTTTTGCTTTTGGTTTCTTTAGTTTCTTTTTGACTTTCTACGGAAGCCGTCTGGTGAGTTTCCTTTATCGACTTAGACCTCTGAGTTTGACAAACACTTTTTTCCTATCCTTATATAACACATCAGAAGGAAGGAAAAGTATTTTTATTTGATTAAAAATACGAATTAAACATCTGAAAAATATCTCGTACGTTGCAAGTGCCAGTAGAGGAAGCCAAAAACAGCAAATCAACATCGCTGCATATCAGTGGTTTATCAAATTAATTGTAGACCAAAAAATAAGTTTATTTCATTGTCTTGTATGGAAAAGACATAGTACAAAGAGGATGGATGGCATGGTTTATCTAGTAAGTTATTACATGGGCCTGGTGCTAGCTAAGAGAGGAGAGTAATGAGAAACAAAGTTTTGAAATGTTTATTAATTGAAACTTGTTGTGAAGTGACCTGTAAAAGAAAAGGAAATAAGTAAAAGAAATAAATGCATTTAATTGAAGTAATTATATTTGAAATTAGTGGTACTACTTACCACCCTCTTGTGGTCTGCCTCAGGTGTTCCGGCCAAAAAAGTCCCCAGGCAGCCGGAGCACCTTAAAGGTTGTATGGAGGATTTTTTTTTTTTTTTTAAAATTGTCATTGAAAGTTTTAAATACCATTACAGAGACGCAGCAGCCTTTTAATTATGATGACCGAAAAAAAAAAGAAAGAATGAAAATCTATCAGTTGTGGACGTAGTGAGGCCAGATAAACATCAGCCAATAGAAAACGAGGCTCCCTCTTTTTCTATTGGCTGTTAAGTTGTCAGTCAAACTCCCTACATTTTTAGTGTAACTGAGTCGTCGGCGCTCGGGGATTATGTGGTTTATGCAGCGGTTCTTTGAGGCTTTTTCAAACTGTAGCTTCCTTGCAATTCGCACAAAGTTTGTTGCGATGGCGGACGAGAATCCACGACCAGTTCGCCGCAAAAGAAAGTCCGAAGGGTCTAAAAACTGATGCGTCGGTCGCTAAAATATTTCTAGGCAGGTCACTTCAACAGTAATTCTGAACATGCACTGGATGTAAACAAATGTGATTTCTAGAGTAAAGAGGCGGGAGGAGATGTTTCTACTGAGGAAGGTGGTGTCACACATGCACAACATTTGAAAAAGGACTGTCGCTGTATTTCGCTTCCCTTAAAAAATCCTCTATACAACCTTTTCCGAAGGTTCCGGGGCAGGCAACCATGTTGTTAGGAGGAGGGGTGCGCAGAGATTTTAACTTCTACTTGGTATTTTAAATTCACAATTAAACACTGCTAATTTAATAATGATATATATGTTTGTATTTAGATGTAATTGAATATGTGTTGCACTGTTCTGATACAATAAAACTTTAAAATATTCAATGGAAATTATTGGAAATTACCTGCACGTTAAGTTGAGCTCACTCAATTAGAGGACGAGGCCTTTAAAAGGAGCCAGCCTCACCTTTGTAGGAAGGAAGGTGCCATGCGAGTGTAGGTCACTGCCATGCGAGTGTAGGTCACTGCCATGCGAGTGTAGATCACTGCCATGCGAGTGTAGGTCACTGCCATGCGAGTGTAGGTCACTGCCATGCGAGTGTAGGTCACTGCCATGCCTGTGTTTAATGTGATAATTGTGTAAACATTTTTCAACTTTTTCCTGGATATGGAATGAATGCAGTACAAATTGGCTCACCTCTTCTACTGCTAAGGTTGCTATCCAGGCTATTACATGTCCTTTGGAAAAAAGTTGTTTTCTTTTTCTTCACAGTAGGTTCTTTAAAGCATCTGTAAATAGACTGGCAGACCCAGCCCTGTTGTTTTCTCACATATCACTAAATTATATCTATATTACTGCTGTCTAATAGAATGCCAGTTTTGGTCTGACAGGAGAAGATCAGAGAGTACAGTGCTGCGTCTCAGTTCTTTCCTCGCATCCTCCTGGATTCTCCTCCTTTTAACCCTCCGGTTCTCAGCTGTTAATGAAATGTGTCATATTATGTTATGTCCCAAGACTCAGGAGGCAAGTGAAGGCCATATCTGCCACCTAGATAGCCAGATAGATACATTATTTATAGATTTTATTTACAAATATTTAAATACATTTTTAAAGCAAATGATTATAAATAGTAAATCCAAATTAATGAATAGCAGCCAGTAATATTATGGTGTGCCTAACTTAAACTTTTCCTTTGTTTTGTCTGTTAAATGATTAAAACAAAAACAATTGCACTTTATTGTGTGAAATACAGAAGTAGGAGCCAATCACTAAGAGGAAGTCATTGTTCTTCTAAAACTGATAAAGACAACAACTGTTCACTCTCTAGTTGGTTCGTTAAGGACAACACTAACAGCCTAAGCATTTTTTTTTAATGGCAAATTCTGAAGTTATAAGGAACATGCTCATTCAAATTATACAACTTTTACTGCTGTGTTTAGGTGAGATAATTTTTATGAATAATTTTATTTTTTTCAATCAAGACCTATTAAATAAAGAATAATTTATAATGTGTATTTATATTCAGTATTTGTAAGAATAAAAATCATTCTTTTGGTGAACACCTGTGTGTACTCATGTATTTTCTGTTTGTATAATTTTAACCCTGTGCTTTTTTAACAGGTGCTGATTGTTGTGATCCCAAAAATGCTTTGTCTATTAAAACTCCAAGTCCAATGGAGGCTCTGAGTGGCTCCTGTTTGTGGATCCCATGCACCTATAAACCTGCATCTCCATATGACATAAACACTGCAAACCCTGTCACTGGGATTTGGTCTAAACATGAGTGGATGACTAAAATTGCATTTTCAAAGAGTGGAGACCCCAGTATGTTTTATCCCATGAATATCATTGGGAACCTGAAAAACAAAAACTGCACCACAATGTTTTATAATTTAAGCAAAAGCCATGAAGACGACTTTTACTTCAGATTAGAGAACAGTGGTTTTACTGCCACAGCTATTTGTGACATTCTTCAAATAACAGTCAGAGGTAAGACACTTTTCCTATTTCTTCAAGTTTAATGATTAAAAAGCATACATTAAAAACTTTTGATGTTGATTAATAGATTGATTCCTTTATTGTCATTAAATGAAAACAAATAATGAAATTAGAATTAGCAACTCGCTCTGATGTACACAGAAAAGACAACACAATGAAGACACACTACAGATGAAAAAAAACTACATTTACAACAGAGTACTCTGACATCTGTTAGAAAGAAGTTTTTTTTTTTTCTTTGAGTGCACATTATCATTGGTCTGTAACACAAATGTTATCTCTTTATTTCATGTACAGTACAATAGAAGAGGCTACTCTCAGAATTTTAATGCACAATCACATTTTATTGTTATATTCTATGTGTAAATTAAAGCACTGTTTAGGATTTGCATTCAATCAGATACAATACTTGTTAAATAATAATACATGTTCATTTCTGAATAACAGTTTGTTTTACAGTCAAACTGTATTTTGCTGACATCTATATTTAAGGGAACAAACTGCTTTTCCACATTTGTTTTGTCATCAGGTTGTAACATACACCTGTTATAAACTACACAAGTTTGATGCTTGAATGACATTTTCACTCTTACTACTGTGCACAGTAAATAACCTCCACTCACATCTGAGGAGCATCAGCTTAGTTCTTCAGTTTAATACATTTTTTAGATTAATGTTCTCCCCAAATGTTTTTACTCTTCCCAGACTCTCCCTGGAGCCCCACAGTAAAAGTCTCTGGTAAACAGACAGAGACAGAGGTGGTGACTATAACCTGCTCAGCTGTCACTCCCTGTCCACACGCCCCTCCTCAGCTCACATGGGACCTCCACCAAGACACTGCCCACATCACAGAGAACAACACAGACGAGACATTTACCACTAAAATCACACAGAACATCACTCTGACAGACGCCCATGATGGACTAATGATAAAGTGTAAAGCATCGTATCCTGTGAGTGGAGGATCCAAAATGGCCGACAGTAACGTCACTCTCAGTGTCTCATGTGAGTGAACCACACTGATGGATTCACTCTGTTCTGGTGATACGTTACTAAACTGGATTAAAGGTGCACTGTCTAATGTGGAGAGTCTGCCAGCTGCTAGTCTCTAT